TATGCCATGCAAATTGAATGAATAGTCATTAATTAATTAATAATCACTTCAAAGCCAAAGGTCATTAATTAACATGTAATAACAACTAAGTATATACACAAGATAAATTATAAACTAGTTTTTAGGCTCGATGTCCCGAATTATTGAATTAATCCTATAATTTAAATCCTTATCTATATTTAATTTCGTAAAAATGACATGTAATATTGACAATAGCTTAGCGGATAACATCTTAGTTAGGTTGTGAGTTCAAATCTTGTACAATCCATATTCTTAAACACATAAAATGAAAGACTCAATTAAATGAGGAGAGCGCTGTAATTCTAAATCATAACCATTAATTTGCAAGTATATGATATAGTAGTATATGATGTCTAATCAACTTCTATAAAAATTACAAAGTTGAAAGAAATAACATTACAAAATATATTTACTCTAGTATTGCAAATTAAGAGAGTTTGCATGAAAGGAGAAAAATATTAATTATGATTGTTGTCAACGTACTTATGATGACCTACACCAGGACTAGGACCAGAGTCCTTGCTTACTCTGACTACTTCAAAGTGTTTGAGCCTCTTATGCCCTGCACCACCTCGGCTAGGACCCGAGGTCATCATCGACCCAATAGCGAAGCTGTTGTCGTCTTGGTTGTTGGAATGTAACCGCCGAGCATCCACCTCCGAGAGAATAGAGCATAAAATGAGAGAGAGGAGGAATAAAAGAGCCATAATATTACTCATACAGTACACAATATGTTTAGGAGTGCAATGCATCATATATGATGTATGACTTGGTTACTTATAATATATAGCAATTAGAAACTATATAATATAAGGAATTAAGGACAATAGAGGTTGTGTGTCGTAACGTTGAAGGCAAAAGGCTTGTGCTTGTGCTTTGTGCAATTTGCATGAAACAATGCTTATTGTGGGGGTTTATACTTTATATAGTATTTTAGAATTTAGAAATTTGTGTTTGGATTTTTTGGACTTCGTTAAGAGGGGAACATAATATAATTCAAACAATTATGTTGATTAAAATTAATTAATTTGGAAACTTGTATTTCCATGGCCGCCTAAATTTCTATTTTCAATTCATTTAATTTGGTTTCAAATTAAGTGGAAAATTAACGAATAGCATTTTTGAAGGGTATAGTGAAACATTGGCCTAGGAAAATGACTTGACATAAATTGATCGAGAGTTTGGAAAATTAGCTATGCTCAGCTACTAGTGAGTTCCTAGTCTTCCAACAAGCCTCTTGTTGAAAATAAAAAGTCGTAGAGCAAAAATTTTGCTAACTAAAAGGATATGAGATATTCAATGATGTTTCTAGATGTTCTACTTTACTTTTATATTATTCACATACTTGTATCTATGTATTGTTACCTTGAAATGTTTTAAATTCTAAACTTGGGACATATTTTCATTATTGTTGAGTTTTTTTTTGGGGTTTTACTTTTGTTTCAAACTTTAGCACAAGTTTTTAGAATCGACTACCAGTACTACTCGTAGTTTTTTGTTACTGATTTTCAATATTCTACTAGTTTTTGTTACTGATTTTTCAATATTTTGTGCACAAGTTTTTTGTTACTGAATTTTCAATATTCTACTATTTTTTCAATATTTTGTGCACAATTTCCGTATAACTTTTATTGAGTGTGTACCATGCAAGTTCGAATTAGTTGGATGGAGTTTCAATTTGACCTTAGAGCGAAAATTCAAAGTGAATGTTTGATTTTTTATCTCTCGAAATTAAAACTTTGAAAGTTTTACACCATTCCGTAATTAAGACTACAAACTACAAAAAGACAAAAATAAATATAATAATTCCCTTTCTATTTTGACAACTTTCAATACTTTTGCTTGTATAAGTAATACTTCGTTTAGTTTTTGATTAGACGACATGGGCCTTTAACAAAAGTTAGCAGTAGGAAGTTATAAACTACAGTATGAAGAAAGTAATGGTAAGTGATGAATCAGAGAATCGGGCTGACTAAAGTCATATCATTTTGTTAGACTTAGCTTTAATCACCATGCCAACAACATATACAACTTAGATAGAGAGTGAGAGATAGCTCAAATGGTTAGAGTTGCTCTCTCGGTGTTAGGTGATCCTGAGATCGATTCTCATTACTCGTTCTTGTGGCTCTCTAAACACCAAAAATAAACATATACAACTTAGATAGAGAAAGGTAACAAAAAGATCAAGACGGGTTGAATTGTGAATCAAGGCTAGGCTTTTACTCCCAACAAACTCAATTGGAAACTTTGGACCTACCTTTTGAGAACTTGTTCGAACCCGTTAAATTTAGTCCAAGTCATCTCGATTCCTGCCTAAGACTAAAATACATTAAGACACTCATTACCTAGTCGTAGTAAAATTTGGCTTAAATGAAAAAACAGTGGTGAAAATTTCATGTAGGCATTGTTTTTTGAATGTGAATTATAACTAGAGGCTCCACCTAATAAGGGAGCTCCGCTATTTATGTATACTTTCTCTGTTCTTTTTTAATTGCTATGTTAATTTTCACGTTCATAAATGCACAATTTATATCATAACATATCTTATTATACTCTTGAAAAATAATAAAGAGTTACGGAGTATTATTTTGAAAGTATAAATCGAGATGAATCTAATAAAACTTTACATGACTATTTTTTTCTAACATATAAATCTCAAAAAAAAAAAGTCAAAGTAGATAATGCAAATTAAAATTTTAAACATTGTGATTAAAAAGAACGAAGGAAGCGCAATATTAATCCAACTACATATTATATTATTATATGCTCTGTATGTAATAACAATAAAATCAATTGATTTTAACATAGTAAAATAAATAATTAAAGTTAATATATTAAGGGTGTCAAAGTCAAAGTCAAAATGTTGCAACACCAAGAATAGAAAGAATTATTATTACGAAGTATTATTATTATGGTTGTTGACTTCTAGTTAATTATCATCATAAGTACAGCTGTCAAAAGCAGACTCGACCCGAAATACCGACTCAAATCCGATTATTAACCGACTTGTTTGAACCTGAAAAAATGGTGACCCGAACCTGATATGACCCAACCTGAAACCAACCCTAGACCCGAGTAACCCGAGTCTTTGAGACCCGAACCAGAAGATGAACCGACCCGGAGATGACCCGACCTGAATATAACCCGTAAATTATTGACCTGAACCGAACCCGACCTGAATCGAGATTGACCCAAACCCGTTTTAACCCATCAAAACCCGAGTTTAACCCGACGTGTTACTAACCCGACCTGTTATTAAACCGACCCTAATTTTACCCAACCTATTACTAACCCGACCCGAAATTCAACCCGATCTGTTACTAACCCGACCTGAAATTAACACGACTTGTTATTGACCCGACCCAAATTCAACCCGAATTGTTCCAGACCCATTTCGAACTCAACCTAACCTGTTATTAATAGACCTGGCAATCGTGTCGTGTCATGTCGTGTTCGTTTTAGTGTCGAAAATTAAACGGGTTGGGGAAGGTCAACACTAACCCAACCCATTTAATAAACGTGTCGTATCGTGTTGACCCAATTAATTAATCGTGTCGAAAACTCTTAACACTAACCCACTTTTTTGGTGTTCGGGTCGTGTTGTCGTGTTGAATTTAAAAATATTGGTCTTGTTTAATAGATTAAACAATAATTCCATAAATTATTGGGTTTTTATATTAGGCGGGTTGAGTCGTGTTAATTTCATGTTGAAAATCTCAACACTAACCTAACCTGTTTAATTAAACGTGTCATGTCGTGTTGAACCGTTTAATTAAACATGTTGAAAACCCTTGATACTAACCCTTTTTTTTCCGTGTTCGGTTCGTGTCGTGTCAGTTTTTGCCAGCTCTAGTTATTGACTTGACCTGATTTCAAATCACCTTAAATTCAATTTAGATCACCTTATTAATATTGATCAAAGTATAGTTATATAGTTATGTTGTCACTTATTATGTATATCTTATCTAAACTTATTTGAACTAATTAGCTCGAATTTAAACTTATCTGAAATTATTTCTCTTACAATAAATGAAGAAATTGATAATGATTAAATGTGAATGTCATTACATGAACTATTAACAAACCGACCCAAAAAATGTACCCAAACCCGATATGATTTGACCTGAAATCAACCCGAAACCCAAATTTACCCAATATTTGAGACTCGAACCCAAATATGACCCGACCTGATTGTAACCCTCAAATTATTGATTTGAACCGACCCCGACTCGAATCTGAGAAGGACCCGACTTGGAAATGACCCGACCTGATTATAACCCGCAAATTATTGACTTTAACCGAACCTGACTCGAACCCGGGAATGACCCAACCTAATTATAACCCGCAAATTATTGATTTGAACCGAACCCGAGAATGAATGTAACTTGTTTTAATCCGTGAAAACTCGAATTAAACCCGACCTATTATTCACCCGACCCGAATGTAACCCGACCTGTTATTGACCCGATCTAAACCCGACCCAAATCCGATAAGATGTATGACTCGACTCAAGCATGACCCAACCCGAACCCGACCTTCATAGGTTACGATATTAATCCGAATTGGTTTGATCCGAGTTGATCCGATCCACACTTACTCGAGCCGTTTACCCGAATTGACAGCTATATTCATAAGCTCCCAACTGAGAACAGCCTAATAGGTATAGTGGGCCACTGGCCCGCAGAAAACAGGTAGTGACCTACTGACTACCCACCAAGCAGTGAGCTTATGTAGTTTGTTTCTTTAAAGCAAGAAATGGACCCTGACTACCTTTCTTTTTTGCTATTGGGCCTACTGAAGCAAAATGATCCATTAAAGGACCTACTCATATTTAAAATTTTGTTTTCTTCCATAATTAACAATTTAACATTTTGTTATATATATAGTGCTCCAACGGTCCACCTTATAGTAAAAATAATGCATAACCACATATTTTTCCACTTTATCTATTCTATTCAAAACAAATAATATATGGTGTACTATAAATTTGTACAAAATAAGTTCAGTCGTCTTACAATTATTTATTGGCTCAAAATAATATACGTACTTTTTGGAACACCAATAATGGAAGAAGAAAAACAAACAATTCATGTATTAATGGTAGCATTTTCATCCCAAGGTCACATTAACCCTATGCTTAGACTAGGTAAACAGTTACAAAATAAAGGCCTTCATGTTACTCTTGCCGTCACTGAAATTTTCCTCCATCGAATTGCGACGAACCACCATTCGACAACTGCCACCACCACCGCCGCCGCCGCCGACAATCAGATCCCCTCTATATCGGGGATCGATATCGCGTCCTTCTCTGATGGGCTAAGCCTAGAGTATGACCGTAAGAGCAACCTAGATACGTACATGAAGACACTAGCCGAATTTGGGCCGGTAAATTTGACTAGCCTTGTTACGTCTCTAGGCTGTGACATTACTAGGCCGAAGAAATTTTCATGTATTATAAATAACCCTTTTGTGCCATGGGTTGCTGACGTGGCGTCGCGACTAGGAATACCGTGTGGTATGCTATGGATTCAACCATGCACACTCTTTGCAATCTACCATGGGTTTTACAACAGTCCTGAAGATTTCCCTACGAAAGAAAACCCCGAAAAGAGCGTGAAATTACCGGGTTTACCCTTGCTACAAACTTCTGATCTTCCTTCTTTTGTGCTCCCTTTTAATGTTTTTGGGAGCCTAGCAAATGTATTTTTTGAATCCATTAAAAACATCCATAAGTTGAGGTGGGTTATGGCTAATTCTTTCTATGAGCTAGAGAAAGAAGTGATTGATTCTATGTCAAAATTCGTTGTGATCAAGGGAGTCGGTCCATTAGTCCCTGCGACACTCTTAGGCCAAGATGATCATGAAGGACGCGATTTTGTAGGGATTGATATGTGGAAAGCCGATGATAGATGCATAGAGTGGCTTAACCAAAAGGATCCTAACTCGGTAATTTACGTGTCATTTGGGAGCTTGGTAGTCCTTTCGAAAACACAGATGGAGAGTATTGCAACCGCGCTAAGGGAGAGCAAGAGGCCATTTCTTTGGGTGGTGAAGCCGTCCGAATTTCAGGTGACCGAGGGTGCCGGTGAACTTCCTAAGGGATTTTTGGATGAAACTAAGGAGCAAGGGCTAGTGGTACCATGGTGTGCACAAATTATGGTTTTGTCACATAAATCTATTGCTTGTTTTGTAACACATTGTGGTTGGAATTCTATGTTAGAAACTATTAGTGCTGGTGTTCCTGTTATTGCTTATCCAATGTGGACTGACCAGCCAACTAATGCTAAGCTTATGGCTGACGTTTTTGGAGTTGGGCTAAGGTTAAGGCCCAATAATGATGGGTTTTTTGAAAGTGAGACAATTAAGGAGTACATTGAAGAGATCATGGATGGACCAAGGTCGGTTGAGTTTCGGGCCAAGGCAACGGAATGGAAGTCCATGGCTAGGGATGCGGTGGCCTGTGGCGGATCATCGGATCGGAATATTCAAGAGTTCATTGATGACATTGTTAAACTATCATCATCTCATACTATAAAATGCAATGTGGATTCTTCTACAAAGTGTCAAAGTTCTTGATAAAGGTGACGTTTGTAATGTCTTTATGTTGTATGGACTATTGTCCTCAAAAAAAAAAAAAAAAATGTTGTATGGACTATACTGTAATCCTGTGGGCCTATTGGGCAATACAGTTAATCTTTGGGCTTATTGGGCTATGTATGTTAACAACTACAATCTTGCGAATCTCATTTTGTATTGTTGTGAATATAGAATATACTAGAAGACCTTTTTGTATGGGGCCCAGTGTTTTTGTAAATGCGTAATGCATATCATGTTTGAATTTGGTGCAGCATAAATATTAACATGGGACTAAGGGAGCATCTACATGTGAGCCATTTGGTCGGTCGTTGGTAAGATATAATTTTATTGATCCAACTGCTTGTTCGCACGTTTTATGTCGACTGTTCTTTTCAAATAAGTTCTCCATGATTCTAAATTATCATGTAGAATCTTACTACTACATCCGTTACATATTAGTTGCAACTTTGAAATATTTTACGTGTCACAAATAATACCTCAAAGTTGCAACTAATATGTAATAAAGGTAGTATTATTTATCGAAATTAATGAAATACAAGGCTTGATCACATCGGTTGGAGGTGGGAGCTTAGCCATAAGTCCATAACATCATCATATCATACTCCTCACATTTTACTTAAAACTTTTGATATTCCAATAATAAAGTATTTCTATATTGATATGAGTTTTGGGTTAGGCCTTCTATCCCTTAATGAATTAACCTAGCTCAACACAAGAATTCATGCACATTGAGGATGGGAAAGACCGGGAGAGTAAGGAAATAACAAAATGAGGTTTTTGTTTTATTATTATTATTATTTTTTTATTTAAAGTGTTACACTTTTATTTTTATTTTTTTAAACTATTCTATTTTATACTTTATTTTCTACGTGAAAGTATTCATGATAGAAACTTATTGAGATAGAAATGTAATCTACACCTTCGAGTTGGACAATAAAAAATACATTTCTATCTCAATAAAACTCATTTCATAATTGGCAAGAAATCAATAATAATCATCATTGATAAAAAAAAATCACACTTTTATTCATATTATTTTCTCTATTTATTTCCTGGACAATGGGAATCGGAAAAGAGCCTTACCAAGTATAGAAGTCAATGAAAATGTTAGTTAACCATCTGAAGGTTATTCAGAAATGAGGATAGTATATAATACTCCATATAACACTTGACACGTATAGTTTCGATTATTAAATAACTTTATAAATATTAGAGATTAAAAGAAAATGTTAGTTTTTTTCATTCAGAAATGGGGATAGCAATATACTCCGTAGCATAATACTCTAATACTCCATAAAACCCAAATAGTTTCAGCTATTAAGTATTGGTATAAATATAGATATAGATCAGCAAGAAGATGCATAAAGTGTATCTTCGATGAACTGTTCATGTTCCTCTTCTAGGCCGCCCCCAACCCAAAATCTCACAAAAAATTACAAAAACAAGTCATACTTTAAATAATTAGCGATCCTAATACAATTTTCTTCAAAAAAAAAAAAAAAATTGTGATCCTAATACAAAACACGAACAGTATTCTATAGGTTTTGTAATTTTGTAAGGTGGGAAAAGAAAACAGAAAGAGGTTAGTGAGTGGATGCATCCATTACTGTACAATAGTAAATCATGTGTTTGATGTGTACACCCAATGTTACTTATTCCTACCTCATTACATAATATATGACATTATATTAGCAAATTATCTATCATAGTCAATTCGTTATAAATTAAAGTAGCAGCCACAATCATGCATTTTTGGTTGTTATACAAAACACATATTCATGTGCTACAAGATTGAATTAAAATATTATTAGTTGTACAGTGTTTTTAGATTCTTTTTACTTTGTACAGAAAGCTGTATTTTGTTTGCATAGGAAAGCTTAGTTTGCCATTATTTAAGGACGAAACTATGATCTTATTGATCTTTTATTCTCTCAATCATGGATCTCTTCTATGCTCTTCTAGACGTTTTACAAATGTGAAGTGATCTAGAAGTAGGGAGGATATAAACCATGTGAACTTAGTAAAATAATTGGTCTCGTTATACAGTAAAAGTTATGGTAGAGATGGAGATGAAAACTTAATCAACTGATGATTAAGTGAGGTTTTATGTCAAAACTAATCATTAACAACGAAAAGTAATGTAAGTGGGGTTATACTATTATTCATTTGCTAATATAATGTGATTGCTCCCTTCATCCTAGAAGCATTGACAACGTGACACCTTTGACTTTTTTCCTCTATTCATCTACTAATTTTGACCTTAAATTTACAGTAATATAATAAATACAAATTTTATCATCAAATATGTTGTTAGATAAATATTAATACAAATAAAAAGTTTCATGATATCAACTTTTTTATATATTTTTTCATACTTATTATATTTAATTATATATTTAAAGTCAAACAAGTGAATTAACATGTGTGTCAAGTTTGATTATGTCAATTATTCTAAGACGTAGATAGGAAATAATATTTTTCTCATGTTTTCAACCCGTTAGACAATTGACACAATTGCACGTCAATATATGCAATTATGCATGGCTTACTTTAAAAATGAAAACGTTCTCAATTTTATTTTCCCTCGCTCCCTTTATTCAAACTTCTCCAATTAATAATTGTTCCAGTTTAATTTATTCTAAACATCTTAGTAATAAGCTAGAGGTGCACAATTTATACAAGTATTACAACACAATCATCCTTCAGTTTTGATTTGAACGCAACTTGTCACATGTTTGATTAATATTCAGTTACAAAACGTTTTACTGTTTTGCTAACGAATACACTAATTGCAGTCAACGTTGCTAATCTTTCTCCCGTTTTCATGCTTAAGCTGTTACGTATCTTTACCTATAAAAGGACGGTTCCAGCTTTGTTTTTAAATACACGAAAAAAAATACAGAAAACCACTTTGCAAAATATATTTTCTCTTCCTCTCAAAACAGTCGAGCAGTTTCTTTCTCATTTTCTGGTGTTCCGTTGTCCGGTGGTTCGGTGCAAAACCGCCGGTATTTTATACTTGTGAAAGACTGTTTTATCCTGGGGGCATCCGGTTTGGTACGAGCTGCTTGCACAAGTTTGAGGCAGTGCCGCGAATGTTCTAAAGAGAGCGACATAGTTCGCGACTCAGTCTTATTCTCGGTAACATTGTTCTTACTATTTTATTTGTGCAATTCCGTTTATAACACTAGTGATCCAAACCCTCCATACGATTTCATCCACTAAATAAGCGAGAAGAAATTAGAGTGAATTGTGACCCAAATAGTATATCCTTGATATAACGTTTATACCTCCCACACAATATCATTTCGTTTAGACTATAAGACTTCTTCTTTTTTTTTAAGACAAAGAAGACTTCGATTCCACGTACTATAGCTTAATAGAATTAATGCCACAAAGCTTATTCATTGCCTTCAACTATTAAATGTTTAAAAAATTTATAAATTAATTAAAGAGCGCTATTTGATGCCTTCTTAAAATTAAACACCCTATATTTCGCTGGCAGAATACCAAATTGGATTTAATAAATTAGGTACCCACAGCATTTAGTGTACCAATATAATTTCTAATCTCTAATTAATAATGAAATATAAAGTTCAGTTCTCATTTAAACTACTTAAAACAAATAACTATAATTTTCAAATAGATTTGTCCTTAAATCACACTACAAACCAAATTTAGAAAAATTTCTAGGATTATATCATTTATATGTGTCTTAATAAGGAATGTTAAAAAATTGATCCATTATATTTTTATTTTATATACTAGTTTTGTGCCCGGACGATGTCCAGATCGATGATAAAATTTTAGGATAAACTTCTTAATTGAATGTGAAATATGGTCATATAATCCCTTTTGATAATGCATGATATTTAGACTTACAATATCATATAATAGTGTAATTTTTGTAATTTAGACTTACAAGATCATAAAATAGTGTAATTTTTGTAGTTTTATTTGTAAGTAGATTATGTTGATGCCCGGATTGTTGATAAAATTTTAGGATAAACTTTTGGGCTTGAATGTTCAATAATATGATCATGTAATCTCTTTTGATAATACAAAATATTTAGACATACGTATCATATCGCTTATTTATAGAATAATGTACTTTTTGTAGCTTTGTTTGTAAATAAATTTCTATGTTGTTATGGACTTAAAATTATTGTTATTGAATTTAAATTATTTTTACTAAACTAAAAGTATTTTTATCAAACCAAAATTATTTTTACTGATTAAAACTTATTTTACTGATTCTCTAATATTTTTTTAAATAAATTAAATAACAATGCATTTTGTATGCGGCTAACCACACCATCTGGCTGAACAAAATAACCTCTATAAAATTGACCAAGTAACCCCGGCCTTGTAATACTAACTGAGTAGCCTTTAACACTTACTAAGTAACCCCTATCTATAACATGATTGAGTAACCATTATAATACTGACAAGTAACCCCTATAGTACTAACGAAGTAACTCTGATATATTATAATAGTTGGTGACACAGTTTGGCCAGCTACGTAAAAAGTTTATGATTAAATATACTATAAATGGATCTTATTTTAAAGAACTTTTTAAAACGAATTTGAAGATGGAAATAGAATTGAGTTATAAGATATTTATTAAAAGTTATGATTAATTTTGTATATATGAAATATTAGAATTTCATCGATAATAAAACTCTATGTAACAATTTCATCTTAAAAAATCTATCCAAAAATCATTTACTTAGCATCATATGTGTCACAATAATACTTATTTATCTCCTACGTGGTGCGATACTTGGCAAAAAATTGGAATGCCAAGTGTCGCTGTATCGTGGCCTGGCGGTGAGATCGGCTTTATTTATTAGTGACTAGTTTTGTGCTCGGGCGATGCCCAAATGGTTGATAAAATTTTAAGATAACTTTTTTACTTGAATGTTAAATACGGTCAAATAATTCGTTCTGATAATATTGGATATTTAGACACACTACTACAAAAATAGGCAAAGGAACCTCTAATAAAAGACCTGTTGGTTGATACAACAGGTCTCTTTAATATAAGAGACCTAACATTACTGATAACAGGTATCTAATGTGTCAAAGGGCCAATTGCTTTAGATAGAAGAGAGATAAGAGACCCGTTGCTAATCATAACAGGTCTCTTATGTATGTAATGGCCCACCCCTCTTAAACCTTTTCACCTCCTCTTTCTCTCTTCTCTTCTCACCTTTAATTAAACAACTCTATTTCCCCTTTCTTCGTTATCCCCTCTTTCTCTCTCTTCCTCTTACCCTTCCCCTTTCTCTGTGCAATTAAGCACCACGAAAGTCTGCTGCAACCATAGGCGGAGTAGAAAAGCCCCACCATTTCCAACCTATAATCGTCGCTCATCAGATCAGGAATTCGGTTGCACTTCAAAAGGTCTCTTTCTCTATCTTCTAGAACTCCGTCGTCGTCACCACCTTTTAGGAATTCAGTCCTATACGCGATTTGAATTCGTCGCCAACAAATCGCGCTGGCCACCACAACGATGCTCTATTCGGTTGATTTTTGTTTTCTACGAAACCCTGATTTCATAATCTCTCCATTTCATCAGTTATAAGTTATAAGTGATCCTAATTTCTGCAATTAATTCAGAATTTCAGAGGTAATACTAGTACGAAATCATCTACAATTGAATGTTGGTACTTTTATCTTATCTTTTTTTTATTGATTCTTTTTGTTCATGGTGTAGATTTTTGCATCAAAATTACTCCTTTTTTTTTAGTAAATTGGTGATGGAGATTATAAATATTTTCCCCTATTTTTGTGAATTCACTAAAACCAAAAGTCCTCCTTGGTATTTGATATTTTGACTCCAACCACCTGCCTTCGTGACCAGACCTCCGGCGAGGCAGCGACTAGCGACGACAAATGACCAGACGGCCGGCAGACCCCACCTTCGGTTGTGGATTGTTCCTTCACTTTCCCAAAATCTCCAATCTAATTTCAAAGTAAGTTATAACCCTAAATTCCTAATTTGATTAAAATCAAATTTTTGTATTTTTTGCTGTTTAATTGTTTATGTTATTGTCTATTTAGTTGTCTAATTGTCTTGTTCCATTAATCTATTATTGATTTGCTGAATGTTGATTTTTGAATGAGTACTTGAGTTGTTATGTGATTTTTTTTTTGAAATTTTAAGTTTCCTGATAAATTTATTGGTTTTGAATGTTATTTTGTATTCTTCTTCTTTTTTCTCGATCCTAACTTGTTTATTGGCTTTTAATTGACTAACTTTTTGCATAATTTATATTATTGAACAGGTGATTGACGCTACAAGTTATTCTATTAATGTATTAATAGTATATGCTTGTAAAATCTTTAAATCAATTAGTTATTAATTATTTTAACAAGTTTCTGTACTTGTAATGTTAATGTAGTAATCTAATACTTGTAAATTTCAATAATAAGTTTATGTAAGTTTCTTTAATGGATTCCTTCTGTAATTTAAATTTTTTGCCAATAGAGTAGAGTAATGAAATTCAAATTTCAAAATTTAATACCGTGATAAATTTGTCATGGGAATTTTTATTTTTTTTTTAAAAAAAATATATATGGAAGAGACCCATTGTGTAACATAATGGATCTCTTTGATACCTTCCAAATAGACCTGTTATGTTACATAGCTGGTCTGTTTCCCTTCTTAAATTAGTAATATAACTACGCCCAAAGAGACCTGTTGTCTCACTTATTAGGTCTCTTATTAATCACAAAGAGACCTGTTCAGTATGAGACCTATGAGCTAGAGACCTCCTCTTAACAGGTCTCTTAGGCCTATTTTAACAGGTCTCTTCGGCCTTTTTTGTAGTAGTGACATACGATATCATATGGCTTATATTTATATAATAACGTACTTTTTGTAATTTTTTGTAAATAGATATCTATGTTATTATTGACTTGAAATTATTTTTATTGAACTTAAATTATTTTCATTGAACTAAAAGTATTTTTTACCAAACTAAAATTATTTTTACTGATTCTCTAATATTTTTTAAATAAATTAAATAACAACGCATTTTGTATGTGGCTAGCCACACCATCTGGACGGACAAAGTAACCCCTATAAAACAGACCGAGTGACCCCTGTAATACTAATTGAGTAACCATATAACTAACCCCCATAGCACTAACGAAGTAACTCTTGTAATAGTTGGTGACACGATTTGGCCAGCTACATATAAAAGTTTGTGATTAAATATATTATAAATGAATCTTATTTTAAGGAACTTTTTAAGACGAATTTGATGATGGAAATACAATTGAGTTATAGGATATTTATTAAAAGTTAGGTTATGATTAATCTTGTATATATGAAATATTAGAATTCTTTTGATACAAAACTCTAATACAACAATTTTATCTTAAAAGATCTATCCAAAAATCGCTTGCTTAGTATCATATGTGCCACAATAATACCTATTTATCTCTGCTCCTACGTGACTCGACACTTGGCAAAAAATTGGAATGTCAAGTGTCGCTGTCTTGTGACCTGGCTGCAAGACCGACTTTATTTATTAGTGATATATGATATATAATCAATAACTTAATACTAAAATAGACACCGGGAGTGACACGTGTCACATCCTGGCTCCCCTTCCCTTTTTAACCTCCCATTTTTTTTTTGATTCTATAATAATATCATTCCATATCTTTTATATTATTTTTATGACAAATATATTCCTTTTTACGTGGTGTTAATAATTTTTCTATACACATTTACTTAAAATAATTATTCCAACTACTTTTTAATTATCTTTTAAATGGAGTATTATTAATTTTTGCCAAAAAAGTAATAATACATTGCTTCATATAATAAATGTTAAAGAAATTACTTTAAAACATCACTTAATTTTTATTTTTCAAATAGCTGTAACTAATATTTTATTTTAGTTTCAATATAACTATATATTCAAATTAATTACAATTTTGTTTCTTAATTTTACCACTATGTATATATTATCACAAATTAAGGATTTATAGAGTATAATATAACTATAAAATAAATGTTGTGTTTGACGATTATATCATATGTCTAATTCTAGGAAAAGGTAAAATATCAATCAATTTTTTTTGTAAATTACGTAATTTAAAAAATCAATATCTTAGTAAAAGCAAAAAAAAATATTATCTTTTGCCGAGACACTTGATTGAGATGATAAATTTATTACATTCGACATTCATAAATAATCTGCATACTGAAAGACACACTAGACGTAGCGACAATTGACATCTCTGTTTGTATATATATATATATTATCTACAATTAAACTTTTAGGACAAAAATGATTAAACTTCGGAGTACAATTATTGGATAGCTTAAAACACATTTTTTATAGCAACAAAGAATGACGATATCGTATATGTAGAGCATCAATCCATAAATAGAAAATGTAATAATATAGATTAGTGTTGCCCAATTATTGATTGTTCTTGCCTTTAATGATCAGAGTAGTATTTATTTCCATTGAAATAATTTTTTAGATATAAAAGGTGATATATTATTTGTAATTAATATGTGTGTGTGTGTGCGCGCACTTTTGCTAATAGTTTTAGTGGAGATTTTAGTCTGTTTAATTAATTTTTGATGTTTATTAAAAATACATTTAAAATAAGTATTTACTAATATGGCCACTAAACCTGATCAAACCAAGTCCCCGCTAAAACAATTCTTGGGTTTAGGCAGCCAAAAAAAATCCATTTTTGTTTAATTTTTTGCTTTGCCTATTAATATAGATTATGACATTATTATTTCTATATTATTTGTAATTAATATATATGTGTGTGTGTGCGCGCGCCGGCTTGCATGCGTGCGTACGTGTTATGCACTTTTGCCAGCTAATAGTGTTAGTGGATATTTTAGTATGTTGTTTGATTAATTTTTGATGTTTATTAAAAAGATATTTTTAAATAAGTATTTACTCATATGGTCACTAGACCTGATCAAACCAAACTCGCCTAAAAAAATTCTCGGGTTTGAGCAGCCCAAAAAATCCATTTTTGTTTAATTTTTTGCTTTGCCTATTAATATAGATTATTACATTATAATTTCTATATATTTGATGTTAATCAAATTTTATTTGTTGAATATAATTAATTTTCTTAAAAAAATTAGGATTATCGTATATGACACAGGCCTTAACCTAAGTGATACATATAGTACATTGCTATAATTCCTTGGATCCATTTAGCTTTTGAAAGTTGCGCAAGCTAGATAATGAAAATTAGTCATATTTGGCTCTTCGAGGAATAACCGAATATTTGTTCATAGCCAATCAAATAAAATAATTACTAGAATTTGATAATGTTTTTTACAGCAAATGCATAGTAGTCAAACACAACATACAACCTTTGTTTGATGCACGATGTTATCTTGCACTAGTAATAAAATATAACCTACAATTATATGCTAATCTTAGATTGCGGATCCATCGATTAAATTATACGCCGGTCTCCCAATTACTACTATGTAGTAGCCATGTAGGCATTTGTAATTGTAATTAGTGAGTGTAATGATGTTCCGTGGACCCCGGTGATTAATTAAGACATACTTAGCATATAGGTTGAAATGATTAAGGCCTCGTTATGTTTGATTAATATATCTTGACTTACTATAGAGGTGGTTTTTTTTTTTTTTTTTTTTTTTTTTTTTTTTTTTTTTTTTTGAATGGGACTTAATTTAGAGGTGAAAGTTTAATATACACGTATTTAGATAATTTCAGATGAAATAAGTGAATAAATAATTTGCACATAATTAGTTTCTTTATTAGACAATTTCAAACACAGATAAGTTTATTTGTGGAAAAATAAGTTTAAACAAATAGAGCAAAAAAAAAGTGAAAATTTATAACTAACAAGTGTATTTCGTGTTTTAATTACTGTAATTACTCCGTAGTTATCACCCTCTTATACTAAGAGTGATCGAATTAAGCCACTACTATTAATTAATCGCGCAAATGCGCAATGCATGTGGTTATTTAAAACTAAAGCAAAGCCTAATGATGTTTGCAATGTTGTGGACGTATTGGCTCTTAAATAATTATTGCTTTAATTTGTCGAGATGTTTATAACAATATATAAATCTTTCATATTAGCTGTGACTAAAGATAACAATGCATCAATTAATTCATTAGTGTAAATAGTGTTATTGTACAGTATCCATTAATTATCCCTACATTTCATTAGGTTTTTCCTACTATTCGTTTTCAATTGCTTCATGAAGTGTATCTTATTTTCTATATATATATATATATATATATATATATATTTCCTTATTTGATAATGGAATGCACAAGTCAAAACTAAAATGGCCAATTCAAAAAAATCTTTAACCTTATGAAATTTGTTATACATAAAAAAAAAAGAAAAAAAAATGTAAAAGTCAAAACATTGCAAATATATAAACGAAGGAATTATTTGCATGTTACGTATGCAATCTAAATCATGAAAAATCACAATCGATCGGGATTTGGGAGTTATAAGTCAATGTGAGGTCCTAACTTGGGCCTTCGCTAATTCGGCGGCTTAAACTCAGTAGTGGAGATGGTGGTTTATGCGCAGCTCTAATGGAGGAGGAAAGCCTGAGTAGATGGAGGAGCAAACTAGTTATAATGGTGATTTCGCGAATTTCGATGACGGAGGTAGACAACGAAGATGAAGGAGTACAACAAAAAAATCGTTTCAAAAAAAAAAAAAAGTACATCAGAAAAAATATAAAATATTAAAGTTATTGATGTTATTTACCATTGTGCCATCTTTGAGAAACAATTTTGTGCCATTTTTATTTCATATAGTGAAGTCACATTTGTTTTTAATTTTTTTCATACTTCTTAAAACTTGTGCCATTTGCTCATATTGTAGTAAATTGGGATAGGATAAGCAATATTATTTCAAAAGCCCAAAACTACAACAATAACTCAACTGCAATACCCCTTCATCTCCTTAAAGATTATCTCATTGCATTTTTAACAAACTTTAAATTTTAAACAAGAATTTTCACTATATTTACATGAAATCACGTAATCTGTTTCAATGTCTACTATTAGAACATAAAAATTTACTTATAAAGAATATCAATATGAAATATGAAGTATAAAAAGTCAAATACGACAATAATCTTTAAACGTCGGAGTCAGACAGACAGTACACCTTACACTATACAGTTATACACCTTAATTAGAATCTTCCAAGTACTTGTTGATCAAGTTGTTGTAGCCTGTGGCTGGCTGGTTTCCAGGTTAGGCACTTTCTTTTAAAGTCAATGGAAAAATGGGAAACAAAAATGCAATTATTATTTTAATACTCCAAGAAAAAATTAACACGCAAAAAGAAAAAAAAAAAAAAAGAGAAATAATCACCACTACTTAGCTAGTACCAACCTTGGTCTCTGACGGCCCCTATATATTTACTTGCTGATTTTCAATTTGCAACCATACAATACTACCCCCAACACTATTTTTTTTTTTTTTTTTGTTGTCCCTAACATTTTAAAATGGGGTCCGAAACACAAATTATTCACAATCACGAGCTCGATCATCTTGTACATGTGTTCATGATCTCGTTCCCCGGCCAAGGCCACATTAATCCACTCCTTAGACTAGGTAAGCGAATTGCCTCTAAAGGCTTTTTGGTTACTTTTACCACTACTGAGAACCTCGGCCAAGGTATCCGAGGTTCTAATGATGCTGTATCGGATCAACCCGTCCCTATTGGAGACGGGTTCATCCGATTTGAGTTTTTTGATGATGAATGGCCTGATGCCGACCCAAGGAAGTTTGATATGGATCAATATCTTCCACAACTCGATGTCGTGGGTCGTCGTTGGGTACCCGAGAGGCTAGCTGCTCTGGCCCAAGAGGGCCGGCCCGTTTATTGCTTGATTAATAACCCATTTATTCCTTGGGTTTCTGATGTTGCTGAGGAGTTGGGTTTGCCTAGTGCTATGCTGTGGCCTCAATCATGCGCTTGTTTCCTCGCGTACTATTATTTCCACCACAACATGATCCCTTTTCCTACCGAAAACGCCCTCGAAATCGATGTCGAAGTTCCAACTCTACCCCTATTAAAATGGGACGAGATCCCCACTTTCCTTCACCCAACCACGCCGTATGCTTTCCTCAAAAGGGCAATATTGGCACAATACAAAAACCTATCTAAACCTTTTTGTATCCTTATGGATACATTCTACGAGCTAGAGAGGTCAACGGTGGATCACACCGTCGAACTCCTAGCTCCAACCCCGATCAGGACTATCGGGCCACTTTTCAAAAAGCCCATTCCTGGTGGGGCGCGGGTTCGGGCAGACCCGATCAGACCCAACCAGGACTGTTTAAAGTGGCTCGATGGAAAGCCCGACGGGTCAGTAGTGTACATATCCTTTGGCACGATAGTGTTCCCGCCACAAAAGCAGATAGATGAGATTGCGGCCGGTATCGAAGCGGCCGGAATCACGTTCTTGTGGGTGATGAAGCCACCCGCCAAGGAATCCAAGATGAGCCCGCACACTCTACCCGACGGGTTTTTGGATAGAATTGGCGATAATGGCAAGGTATGATTTTTTCTTTTTTTATGCAATTAATTGTTTCTCAATTTCGGGTACTAAACTAATTAAAAAAAACAGTTAAAGATGAATAGTACCATGGGATTCTTTTCACCGACAAAACATTGAGATACGTGAATTTGTGAACTTTCCTCCTCTTTGTCAAAGTTAATTACTTTTCATGTAACGTGACTTGATTTAAAACAAAAGAATTCCAAAAATTAATGAATATCTTGATGTCTTTTTGCAAATAGTAGTAACTAGTTGGTATTTTTAAATTCAGTCATAATTTTTACTTCTTTGTTTTATTTAACAAATCTTAATTTTAAAATGATCATTTTTTTTTATAATATGATTAGGTAAGTACTTATTTAAGTAGTTTTATAATGGTACTTGGTCTAAGAAATTCTTGACCAAATTATTGAATCTTGGGATCCCTCCCTTTTTCGTTTGTTTGGTGTTGGTTAAGTGAAACATAATGTAAATGAGACAATAACATTGATCTATTCCGTAAATCCGTAATTGCGTAGCTTGGTTATAGTACTTTCTCCATTTTTTATTAGCTGTTTCGATAGTTTTAAGAAACAATCTTGTTAATTCTTGAAAACTATCAAAATATTAACAAATTTACTAATCCACATATAATTAAATATAGATTATATTGAAAATAGCGAAGAAGTGACAAAATTTAACGGAAGGAGTACTCCAAACATTCATGGAGATCACCTTTATAGTCTCGTGTTCTAGACAAATACAATACACTAATCTAGTACAAAAGCAGAAAATATAGCGCTTACAAGTCGGGTGTTACATGAGTGCATTTGCCGTCACCTTGGTCCACATTACATAGTATTAAATCCTTTGTATATAAACAACATAGAAAGAAAAAAAAAAAAAAAACAATTTGCTTTCTCTTTCACTTAAAATGGTAGGTTAGGGTGTGCTTCATTGACGTGATCAAACTCACGTATTTGAACTTATTAGACCAAATAAGAACTTAGGAAGTACTGGGATTAATGTAACCCGCATATATATCTAGGTTTGGTTAGTTTAATATAGAATCATTGGAAAATTTACTTGTGAATTCTTATTGTTTTGCGTGGTGATTATCCAAACCCAAAAAAAACAAAATTTTTGTAACATCCCTTTTATTCTGCCAAAAGTAAAGTAAACTTACGTAGTCTTCTTTCAAAAAAAAGAAAAAAAAAAAAAAAGACCTGTGTTTCGGCGATAAATTCTAGTCCACGATACCTACTACTATATTAATTTGAATTGTTGGAATTATTTTTTTTATTTGTAATGTTTGTTTTTGATTATTCAAAGAAAAAAAGTCTTTTGTTATGGTATGTATTTCATTATGAGATTAGATTGTTTACCAGCTTACAAGAATTGATATAGTTACATTGTTTAGGACCAGTACATATGAAGATGACATTATGGGTGACGTTAATAATTGTGGTCATGTGGTGTAGTAATTTCCTGATACACAATTTAGTGAATCTAATAAATTCTTCTACACAAAATTGCAGGTGGTCCAATTTGCTCCACAAGAGCAAGTCCTAGCACACCCGGCCGTGTCATGTTTTGTGACACATTGTGGATGGAACTCGACTATGGAGTCAATCTCCTATGGAGTACCCATGGTAGCGTTCCCTTCATGGGGCGACCAAGTGACCGACGCAAAATTCATTTGCGACGTCTTCAAGACAGGAATACAACTTACTAGGGGTGAGCACGAGAAAAGGCTCATCACTAAGGATGAAGTCGAAAAGTGTTTGAGGGACGCCACCTCAGGACCTAAGGCAACTGAAATGAAGAAAAACGCCCTCAAGTGGAAGGATTTGGCAGATGAGGCAATAGCCGATGGTGGATCATCGGATAAGAATTTTGATCTTTTTATCGATCAAGTACGAAAGAGGGGTGAAATCGTTCTTGCTAATGCTAAGAAGGTTGCTAATGGTTTGCCTACTAAAGAAAATGGACATTGATTAATCTCCAAATGCATTGAAGATTATGTGCTTGGATATAGAAGAAACAATTACTACAATGAGCCCAATTTGGCTGATTTTATGTGTAGGGCCAATTTATTTACACTTTTTATTATTTTATTTTTCTTCTAATTTTCTATACCTTTGCACGTTTTTTTGGACCATATTGGAGTTACTTTATACTTTAGCCCGGCTCTTATAGTGCGTGCCTAACTGCCTATGGCAACGCTTGGATATAGGAAGGTTCCTTCACTTTAAAGTTAAATCATTTCATCAACTATGTGAGGCGTGAGCAATAACTGGAGGAATTTCTGGTTTTTTTTTTTCTCCCTTTTTTTCCTGTTGTATCTTTAATATTTACTATTGTGTAAAGTTATCTAATATCATTATTTAATTTATTCATATTGTTGTTAATTTCTTCAAGTTGTTTTGTTTGTTTGGATTAATACTAGTACAAGGTTAATTTCTATGTATTCTTCTGGTTAAACTATCCCTTCATTTTAATTTGGAACTTTTGCACTACTCACGTGTCTTACATATGGTACATAGGCGAATGTTCATTATAGGCTTATATATAAGTATATAACAAATGCATATTCATTAAAGTCATAGTTATCTTTGCAAATAACACAGGCGAATGTTGTACATTGATAAATATATAAATATATAACAAATGCATATTCATTAAAGTCAATTATCTTTGCAAATAACACAGGCGAATGTTCTACATTGATAAATATATAAATGATAGTTAATCACTCTATAATAAGATTAATGATAAGTTCCCTCTATTGACATATTGTTTTGTGATAAAATGTTCTTAGACTGCAAATTAATAGATGCAGCCGTGTGCATGTAGCTCTACATGCAACCATGGCATTTTTTTGTTTGGTATTTCTACTAGCTTTCCTTAATAGTCACTGGACTCGTATAATTAATAAACAAACAAAAATCCTAAAAAACTAATGTCGCCACTTTTATTTAGAACAATGTGAAAAGTACACTGAAATAAATGGTATACTTGGTGATTCTAGAAAGAAAACTACTATCAATCGTTATCGTTTGATAACAATAAACGATAACGATTGACACAAAGTAGTGACTAATTATTGAAGATCAAATTCCAGCAGCCTAGAAATAGTCAATCAAGCACCACCCACCAGATGATGACACCCTTGTATGTAATTGAACTGTAAACCATATACGAACAAAATAATCGATTAGCAATCACGCCTTTAATCAGTAACAACTCTATATTCAAATACACAAGTAGTTGATTACTTGCACTCGTACATCACATTGCATGAAAAGTCATACTTAATTATGTAGTGCCAAGTCACACGTAGTATTAATCAACACTGTTTAACTAATTGCATTTAGGAATTGTGCGCTACAATTAAGTTTTAATGTTGAAGTGGGACCTTAATTATATCGGATTACAAAATATATAATAGAATTAGATGATATATACTACGTGCTCACTTGTTTTTTGAGTTGTTTCTTTGCACGTTAGTAGATTTATTATTAAAAGTTTTACATTACATGGCTTCATGTATTAGAGCAAATATGTGACATTCTCACATAGTATATATTGTATTATGACTTTTTACCCGTATTATATCCACAAAGGAGGCTAAATAAAGTTGTTGAAAAACTTTATGACTTTCAGTCGTAAAGCATGGGATCAATTCTCATTAAATTAAGCTCGTTATAGGAGAGTTATTTCTAAAAATCTCACCCAGCTTATAATTTACAACCTTGCTAAGAGGTAAGTAAAATCTATCTACACTAGTGATATTTTGGCGATGAGATCAGATCTCTTATTCTTCGTTCCCTCGCTTTTAAAAGACCTCGTTTGGTTTGATTAACTCATGAGAAGTTTTAACTTAATTAATTAGTACAACAATTTTTCTTATCTACGTACAAAAGATAGAAAATATCGATAATGGGCAAGGATTTTGTAAGATTTCTCTTTAATACGGTCACGTACAATAAATCAAAGTATGAATTGTTGACCGGTTATTATGAATACCCTTTGCTAATTAATTCGGGCACTAATTTTCTTATTAGGGACCTTCGAAGTTCTTCTATGAAAGTAAAAGTATTATTGAATTCTAAGTAGTATGTAAGCTGTTCTCTTAACAGACGGTGTACTATGATCAATTTTTTCATAACACATTAGTTGTAAACTACAAGTCTACATTACAAATTAAAGTAATCTAGAAAGTCGCTAGCGCATTGTCTTATTGCAATTCATGCTTTAATTTAAGTAAATATTTTTATATTTCTATGATGGAAAATGTTATAAATAGCCTTTAGAGCTACATATAACCATTAAATATCATAATCCATTAATATCATGATCCGTTAAAAACTTAAAATTTATTTTATTTACGTTTTGGGTAATGAAAGTTGTAAGAGATACGGAAACACAAGTGATATGGATGGGTTGGAAATCTTGGAAATCTTGGAATTGCATGTGAGGATATGGAAGGCGTACATAAGCCCCAGCAAGCAGTGCTGTCGCATTCACTTCTTTATTCTCCAGAAGATGCGGTAGATTAGTTACGGAATCTCTCTATACTAATCTCTCTAAATTAATATCGCAAGTGCAATGTTGCATTACTCTCTCCTAGTAAGACTTGACTTACTTAATAAGATTTTTTTTCTTAGATTATAGAGGTAATGGTTCGAATCTCATCAAATGAAGGTGCTTGAGGGGTGGAGATCCCCTTGTTTTTATTATACTTCTTAGATGATTACGATGCATGATTTAATTTAAAGTTCGGGTAAAAATGATCAAGTAAAAAAAAAAAAAAAAAAAGAACTAGAACTGCTTAATTTTAATATTGCTTTCTATGTACATACTGTAGTAGACTAGTTTAGTACTCGTAGGGAACGATGTTTGATACTCCGTATTAATTTAATATTCCGTAACTTTATACTTTTTAAATCTCATGCATTAGCACAAACACAAGCTAGTGTTTCTAATGTATATTCTTGTTGCGTAATTAAATGCTAGATTATGGGATTTCATTATAACAAAATAAGTAGAGCTTACTCATCCTAGGAAAGAGCAAAAACATGCTCTTTGGTCTTTGAGTAGAAGTGTTAGAATTGGTAAATAAGCTGTCCTTTTGATTTGGACACGTTAACAACTCACAAGGAAGTCCATATAATTAGTTCATACGTGTATTCTATGTATTTTAATTCATATTCCGTAATTAAATTATAAACACCAATAGAAATTATATAATTAAAGACCAATTCCCAATTGATTTGGACCGTTTACCAGGAATATAAATTAAGCTTGAGAGCTGGGGCTGGCAATTAGCAGAATGTTAGTGCTACTTAATTATTTTAAAATTATTGCTCTTTTAAAGTCAAGGATGCATACTCTTCCAACTTGCTCCTGTTATTTATATTTTCTTAATTGCCTATGGTATATTATATAATGTTGAGAGTTTGTATCGCTTTGATAATGATTTTTCGATTGATTTTGATTGAACTTGAATTGGCACTAAGTCAAACTAGTTAGCTACTTCAGGAAGGATCATAACCCTGTTTTGTACGTAATTCATCCGTTTCTTTATATTTACACCGTTTTCTTTTTGGAATCTCTCACATGCCATGTTGTATTTGCTTCATTTTATTATTTTAGGTAAAAATTTCTTTCTATTTTTTTTTTTTTTTTTGAGTCTCATACTTGTTTAATGATTTATCTCTTGATAATTTTTTTTTATACAGTAAAATGGAGCAAGTTAGAAGGGAATGAGGAATTACACTTTTCAAACATTTTTGGTTTATGATTGTCCATGACGGCCTACTTATTACCCATTAATCCAATATTCCACATGTCAAATCAACCTTCATAAAACGATACCTAAACCTATCCAAGGATTTGGGATGAGATGGTTGTGAATTGCACTGCATCATCGACTAATTTAATTTTGACATTGACATGCACTTCACTTGAATTGGTTACTAATCAAGTAATCAAAAGATACTAATTTAATTTGTATTTTTAATTTTGACATTGACATGCACTTCACTTGGTTACTAATCAAGTAACCAAAAGATACTAATCTATATTATTGGTGAGTGGTTATATACATATTGATTGTTTCCATCAGTTATGGTAGAGCTAACATAAATTGGCCAAATATAATAAAATGTCACAAACGGAATACGAAATAAGTTACATCTAACTAAATAAGTTGAATTAGTTATATTTCGAGTTTTCAAACACATATGACTCTTTTCAACTTGTTTCAATCACCTAGCTAAATAAATAGAAAGTTTCTATCACTATGACATGGGTAAGTTATACTAATTCGTTATATATTACTCTCTCTGTCTCCATTATTTTGCCCCATTTGACTTTACAAGGTTTTCGAGACGCATCTTAAAACGTATATATCTCTATTTCTATAAACGTAAAAATTTTAAAAACTTGATATTAATCAAATACTCCATCCGTTTTGCATTTGTCGCAACTCTTTCCATTTTCGATCGTTTCATATTAGTTACAACACTACTATATTTGAAAAGGACCCACCATTATTTAATAATTTCTCTCTCCCACTAAACCCACTTTCACAAATATTTTATAATTTTTTTTTCCTACCAACCCCACCCACATTATTTTTTACGACTATTTCATGAAATGCCACTGATTAATTGCGAAATTCACCAAATGTCATCCGACTTTTCAAAATTCACCAAATGCCACCGAGTTTTAACAAAATTCACCGAGTGCCATTAATGACTGACAACCGTTAGTTGACCGTAAGTGGACCCCACCACTTGCCACGTGTCACTTTCTAATTGGTCCGTTTTTAAAAAAAAATTAATTAAACAAAAATTATAAAAAAAAAGTTAAAAAATTAAAAATAGTAAAATACTTTAAAAAATTAATAAATAAAAAAAAAACAAAAAAAAAAAAAAATTCTGCTGCCACCGGCCAGCCCATGAAGCTGCCGCCGCACCCCTTTGCCGCCGGGGCTAGCACCGGCAGGCGCGCCGGCGACCCCTCCCTAGCCTTATCCCGTCGCAACCCCCTCCCCTAACCCATCACAGCCCCTTCCATTCCCCTTTCGCGTCGCAGCCCCCTCCCCTTCCCCTCCCCTTTCCCGTCACAGCCCCCCTCCCCTTTGAATTCGCATCCCCCCATCGCAGCCCCTTCCCCTCCCCTTTCCCGTCACAGCGCCCCTCCCCTTCCCCTCCCCCTGTCGCAGCCCCCTCCCCTTCCTCTTCCCCTCCCCCTGTCGCAGCCCCCTCCCCTTCCTCTTCCCCTCCCCTTTCCCGTCGCGACCCACCGGTGAATCCCCAGCCCCCACTGTATTTCGACCCAAAAATCCCTAGCCCCATTGAATTCCGACCCCAAATCCTTACCCACCCCTGAGTTCTGACCCCCCTCAC